GTGCAACTAAAAATATTGTTTTGAAACAGATTACTAAATAAACTCATCATATTGGTTGTATAAATGCATAAATTAATGTCAAGAGCAATTTGAATATCATTCCAAACCTTCGCAGCAATAGGATTGTAAGGAAAAACACGATTAATAGTCTCAAGGCTAAAACAACATTGGCATTTAAAAACAAGATTAAACCCTTCAATTTGATCATAGAATCAACATGGATAAAGCCTTTTAAAATTCTCCAAGCTAACAATGATAACTTAATGGTAATAATGGGCTTCCATAAATTAGCAAAAGTAGCATTAACATTATTGTTATTTCTTAAAAGCAACCAAGTTTTTTCTGCAGTTGAAATCACCATCATTCGAGATCTTAATCCATAGAATTACTACTTAAAGGAATCTTACAGATATCGTCAACAAGAAATTGGGGGATAAATTCCTGGAACCGATTAGTGGACCAATTACCATCTGTAATAAAATAACAGAATTTCAATGAGTAGGTAGAATTAGTATTTAAGTGAGAGTCAATAGACCCTGAACCTAATCTTTTCCATCCCAGGGACCGCCCTTAAAAAAAACAAGAGAAGGATGAATGTCTTTACAATATTTTTGATGCATATAGTTGGACCATAAAGATTCATACTTCTTGAATTTCCACCAAAGTTTAATAGATAAAAATTTGATTAATTCGGAAATAGACTTACATCGTAAGCCACCTTCAAAAAGTAGGGACCATAATAGTTAGTTCAACTAGCCCAATAATTTTTTTTGGAAATAGAAGTGGTGCCCCAAAAGAATTTGTTGATAACTTTCTCCAAATAATCACAAATTGAACCAATAGGATTAATAGATTGAAAGAGATAAACAGGCTTGGAGCATAAATCAATTTTAAAAAGGATAAGTCTAGTCCCCATAGAAAGCATTTTAAACTCCCAAGAAGAGATTTTAGCAATGATAGAAGCTAGAAGTTTATCAAACAATAAAGAGCATTTATGACCTTTAAATAAAGGAGTACCACGATAGAAAAGAGGCAAAAGTTGATTGCAGAAACATGTTTGGGTAACAATATTGTTACATTGAGTAGAAGCCATTCTTTTACTAGCAAAGAAAGAACATTTGCTGTTGTTACATTGAAGCCCACTTTCCCTTTCAAAAATAGACATAAATTTCCTTTTTTTTTAAAGCATCTAATCGGGCCATTACAAAAAATAATGATATCATTAGTAAAACAGAGATGAGTAATGTCAATGCCTCCGAAGTTTTTGTAAGAGCAATTTTTGTTTATGATGGAAAAGAGACAAACCCATAGATAAATAATGAGCAACAATAATATAGATGGTTGGAGATAAGGGATCCCCTTGTCTAATACCACACTCACCTTTGAAGAAACCATGATTCTTATCATTAATAATCAAAGACATCCAATAATTGTTGATTAAACTTTTAAACATATTAATAACATTGTCATTGAATCCAAAAAGTTTCAAAATGCTGAAGAGAAAATCCCAACTAATACTATCATAAGCTTTAGAGATATCTAATTTCAAAATAAGTTTGTGACAATGCACTTTTCTATTAATTTCATGAAGTAACTCTTGAGCCAATAACACATTGTCCGCAATAGTCCTACCTTTAACAAAACCAGACTGATTGATTGAAATGATTTTAGAAAGAATTAGAGCAATCCTACTAGAAAGAACTTTAGAAATAAATTTATTAAAAGTAGAAGATAGACTAATAAATAAAAAATCACACCAATGAGGATTGAGAATTATGGGGATTAAAATAATAGAAGTAGAAGTAAACGTTTTAGGGATAGGACAACCATCAAAAAAGCCAAAACAACCTTGGAAAGATCAAATTTAATGATTTCCCAACAATTTTGAAACAAACAATAGTAAAACCGTCATGGCCAGTAACAAAGTCTTTATTTATGGACATCAAAGCATTAAAAATTTCCCTCTCATGAGGATGTCTTGTTAAAGACAAATTGTCGTTAGAATGAAATTAGGATTCGAAATAGGTATAATACGCTTAACAACACCAAGGGCATTTTTAAAATATGAAATAAAGGAATCAGCAATCAAATTAGGATCCTCACACCAATCACCAGACTCCATTTTAATCTTGTGAATGTTAGATTTGGCTTTTTTTAGAATTAATCAAAGCATGAAAATATTTTGTATTATTTTGATCACTATCAACGATAAGTTTGGAAGCTGCTTTCTGCCTCCAAAATTCCTCTTCCATAATTTGTAAATTCAAAAGGTTAGACTTAGCAGAAGCCACTTCCTCCCCCTTGATAATTCCATCAACAAATCAACAAAAAGATATTCAAGGTTAGCTACATCTTTTTCAACCTGAGCGATTTTATCAAATATGTTACCAAATTTATTCATGTTCCACCATCTTAATTTTTGTTTTAACTTTTTCATTTTCAAAGCCAAAAGATTCATGTGCCACCCAATTCTCCTTCACAAAAAGAGTGAAATCATTAGCTTTCATCCACATATTTTGAAATCTAAAAGAGCAAGTAGCATCTTAAATATGTAGAGGAATCTTAGAGAGCACGGGAGAATGATCAGATTCAATGCGACTAAGGTGTTCAATAGAAGTCTTAGGAAATTAACAAAGCCATTCAATATTTAAAAGGACCCGGTCAAGTCTTTCCCAAATTCTATTATTAGACCAAGTGAAGGGACGACCCGTAAAACCAATGACAGTAAGAGCACAATCAAAAATCATATCATTGAAGTCACCCATAACATTCAAATTAGGAGAAGATCCTCCAATCTTTTCATTACAAAGAGAAATAATATTAAAATCGCCACTGATAAACCAAGGAGTATTCACAGAATTAGAAAAATTAAGTTCTGCCATAAAGGAATGCGCCCATTTCTAGTACAACTGGCATAAACCACATAACCGAAAATAGGAATATTAGAAATATTAAAAGTAGAATAAATGACTTGGCCAAAATCTCCCACAATATTCAAATAGATAAAACCTTAAAAAAAAAAAAAATTTACCAAACAAGCTGGCATAAGAAAAATCAAAACCAAATTGTTTTTGACAAGTCATAATATAGGAGGAATTAACCATGGGTTCTAACAAATCTAAAAATTGAATATTGTGAATGCGACATAAGTTACGAATGCGAAACCGAGATTCCCTTTTTCCCACACCCTTAACATTCCAGATAATTAAATTAAGCATTAACAAACATTCTTGGTAGAAGATAAAGATCTAGTGATTCTAGAATCACTAGGGTAATCTAAATAAACTTTTTTTTTTATCCTTTGCTTGAACCCAAAGACCATCATCCTTAGAAAATTTGTTCCTTTCACAATCAGAATTTATTTCACTTTCCTCCCATTGCACATCCGAAGGGCAAGCATGCTCTGACTCCCCTTCAGAGAGAAGTTTGTCATTGCTCTAAATACTCAAATTTACAGTATCATTAGTATCTTTCATAGAAGAAGCATAAATAGGAATATTAATAGAAGGAACCATGTTAGAAAAATTTAGAGAAATGGAAGCATCACTAGCTGAAGAATCGTTAATAATCACATCATTGTTCTCTTTAGTTCTATCCGAGGAAGAGAGATGCTGTTTAGGACTGGAGATGGAGGATGGGATGATGTTCTTAGTGGGTGTTGACTCAACATTTATAAGGCTGATCTCAGGGTTAGTTTCATTAGGGCAACTCCAATGGAATGACAAACACTTGTTTTCCGTTCTTGCTTTGCTCCAACCGACCGCCATTTATGACGCCATTTGATTGGAGATGAACAGTGGCGTTGCACTATTCATCTTCGTCATTTTTTTTGTTCTCTACCGAATTTGTTGAAGAAAAGCGCGAAGGACCATTACGAATAAAATGACATTCAATTGGAGATGAATCACAACATTTTTTAATTTCACTACATTTTGGAGTGAAAAATGAGATTTTCGGTTGGAGATGCCCTTAGTGATAATAGGAACCAGATCAGTGGTTGAAATAAAAGAGGTGGCTCCGTCCCATCAATTTTGGGTTTTCTAAGGTTGGGATTCAAATGGAAACATTCTTGTTTCTTATGACTCAAAGTCTTGCAGTGTTCACAGAAAGCAGGGAAATCACTAATGATAACCTTTTGAACATAACCATACTTCTCAGGGCCTAACCAAATAGTATTCGGATATTGTTTAGTGACGTCAATCTCAACCAGAACTCTACCAACAGAGGGACGTGAGCCAGCAGCTGTGGCATTATCTTGTAACGATCTGCCAAAAAGGCTACCAAGACCTAAGCTAAGGAAACGAAATCCAAATTGGAACTATAGGATACTCAGCCGAAATGTCAAAAAACGAGGACCATTTAATTAACTTCATGTAACAATTACACACATAATAAAATCTGTGACTAAATATTCTACTATAATCCAAATCGTTTTCATGCTTAATCAGAATATGATGAGGGTCAAGCAACATGACAGAAAAACCAGTAGAGAGTTTGAGGTTGAAAAAGAACTGCCGAATGAGGTCAAGTTTAGGTCTGCACAAAGTGAACTTACCAACCCGAGCAAATTGAAAAGGTTCGTCCAAAGCCAAAAACTTCCTCTTCAGAGATCCATAATGAAGTCATACCAAAATGAGTGGTAGGTTTCAGATCAGGCAACGAAGAAGACGAACCAGCACCAGAAATGACATCTTTAAACGATCTAGATTTGTTAATCGAGTTAAGAAAGCCAGGATCAACGAGATTCACACGGTTAGCTGCTAAACTAACGGAGGGAACCCCGATAGAGGAGCAGCCATCACCAAAAACCACCAAGAGCAGACGGACACAAAATAAACAGAAAAAAGGGGATAAAGAAGACTTCCCTGGCCGACGATCGGAGCAAATCTGGAGAAGAACGCACGAAATTCGCTCCGAAGAAGAGTACACAGAGACGAAGAGAAACCCTAGCCGCCTGGTACTTCCAAAGCCCAATCTACCTACTTTATCACGCATCTGTCTTAACGTTTTATTTCTACCTTACTTAACATAAAAATCATAACTGCCGATTAACATTAATGCACATAAAAAGCACTCAAAGACAAAATCAACAGAGTTACCATTATTAATTAAATGCCCCATACAAACATCATCATCTTCTTCTTCCTCTCCTCCTCCACCACTCCCACACCAGAACATTTCTTCAAGCTAGTAGCCTCTGTGTCCTACCAACTTGCAAGCATTCAAGAATAGTTAATTAAGCTCTTCCTCCATGTGAGTCTTAATGGTAACATCAGACTTGGGAAAAGCAAGGCAAGTAAGCACCCATCCCTCACTCATCTGATCATCATCGAGAAAACTAACATCAGACTGATCAACCTTACCCTCAACCAACTTCCCAGCACAGGAAGAGCACGCACCAGCTCGACAGGAGTATGGCAAGTCTATCCCCACCTCTTCTGCCCTATCCAGAATATACACATCGTTTGGACACTCAATCTCCACAGTCTGCTCAGGTGTGATAAGAGTCACCTTATAATACGTAGCCATGGCCCTCACTCTCCCTCCGTTGATCTCATTTGCCTTCAGCCTGAAGAGAGAGGCGGCTCGTTGGCGGCCAGAGAAGCCGAGGCTTTGCGGGGATGAGGTAGAATGGCGAAGGATGGAAGGAGGGTGGAGAGAGAGTGAAGCTGCCATTGCAGGCCTTGGCGGTGGAGGAGAGGAGTTGCTTGGGAGGGTAAAAAAGGGAGAGGGGAAGAGTTTGGATGGCGTGTGGTGTGGAAACGTGGAGTTTGGCGGTGTGGAAACGTGGAGCTTGGTTTGTGGTGGGCTTATCAGTTTCGATCTGTAAGTGTGGTGGATGAGTGGACGGCATTGCATGGCTGGAGAGAGGATTTTGATCTGGTGATGATGTTGATTTCTGCTTTCAAAAAAGTGTTTGTGTGCCCCGAAATGTAATAAGAAATTTTTTAAATGATTTCTTATTTGATTTTTGGGAGATTTACATACATACCACTTAATATTATGCTATTTATATATTTAACATCTAAAATTTTAATATTACATACATACCAGTTCATTTTCAAACCAAATATGAGTGGTAGAAATGAAATATATGAGTGGTAGGAAAGAAATGTAAGTGGTATATTTGATATTAAAATAACATAGGGTGGTATTCATGCAATATTAAAGTTTTAGGTGTTAGATATGTAAATAAGATGTTATAAAGTGGTATGTATGTAAATTTCCCTTGATTTTTTTTTTTTTTTTGTTAAGATGTGGTGTAGGGAGTGGCAGAGTCAGAAATTTTATTCAGAGGGCCTAAATTAAAATAATTCTGTTTGCCGGTTTATTTGGAACGATAGAATACATTAAAATAGTTTCATTTGTTGTCTCATTACCAGATCAAAGAGGAGAATGCAAATAACATGACGCTTAGAGCTTAGAAGACATAAACACTGCCATGGGCGGTCTTCGTTTGGAGGAGAGAGAAGAGTGAAAGGGAAAACGAAAGCCGTACTCAAGGTCGTGAGTCATGAGTCGCAAGAGAGAAGCAAAAAGAAAAAGAACTACTAGTGCTTTTCATGTGTCCAAAAAAAGATGTTGGTGACTTCTTTGGATTAATAGATAATTTTAAAAGGAAGAATTAAAAAAATTAGAGCAAGTTTCCTCGTTGGCGAACTTATTGCTCTGTTAAGCCATTAAAACATCATCTTTAAGCCTCTTTAGGTTTTAAGTTTTAGCTTTAGCCAAATCTTTTAGAGGAGATCTCAACAACTAAAATCTCTTTTCATCGTTCAGTCCACAATGGAAAGTCATTCCTCTATCTCTCTTTCAATATTTTACTCCATTAATCTTTCTCTCTCTACAGCTGTAGCATTGAATGGTATGAGTAGAAGGTTAATTGAAGAGGAGATGAAAAATGCTTGTAATAAATAAAATGAAAACCGACAAGGTTCTACATATTTTTTTATTATTTAAAAAAAAAAAGAGTTTTAGTATAAAACTTAAAATTTTTTAACTAAAATTATTTTTGAAGAAGCAATAAAAAATTTGTCCTAAACTAAATCTGAATATGCAATTTCGGATGCATAATTATGAGTGGTTGATATTAATTGATATATTGTAACTCACATACAAATGTTAGCTGTTTTACAAATTATTTCAAACATAAAAGATAAGGTGATGATATATAAATGTAATCAGGCTTTTGGAGCACAAATTTTGAATTTTTCTGACAGTTTTACCCGCCACTAATATTTTTGCAGCAATTTTATAATCGCCGGATGTCCGCCGTGATTACAATGCGCTGCAACGATATTCAACGATGGTTTTAGGACTGGAGGGGTAGAAGTGACGAATGCTGAATATAGCAACGGTTATAACCGCTATAACGTAGCAGAATTGTAGCGGTCATAACTGCTATGAGGTAAATTAAAATAAATGATCTTCAGTAATGTAGCGGTTAAAACTGTCACATTTCTGCAATGTTGCGGCGGTTAAAACCGCCACAATCTCCCAGAATTTTTTTTGAACGAATTTGACTTCATACAATAGCTATTCTTTTTGACATGGAACTTCACGAAAGTAGAACATGAACATAAATATCAGTCCATTTGCATTCAAATCTATACATGTGCCGAAAAGGCTTGTTAGCTTTGCAAAGATGGACTAAACATTTCATTTTACAAAACAATTAGAACATCTAAGTTTATAAAGAAATGAATAGAGAAAACTAATGGGCAAAACATTAGAAAGGAGCTTCTTTCTCCATGTTACAAGGAGGAGGAGCTACTTTGGCAACCCCTGATACAAACACCTAAGTTACACAAGCGTATATTTAGTCAAAATACTATATATGGGTAAAGCAAATAGATCTACACTAATTGTGAGTAATAAAATTATATAAATAACCTAATCAACAAAAGAGCACATGATTATATATAGCATTCATCCCATTAATAATTTAGAACAAATAGTTAAAATGAACAATAAAGTACAAGAATGAAAACTAAAATTTAAAGATATATAGCATTCACCCGATTAATATTCCTTCTTTACAAACGCCGCCGACCCCACACCGGTCGCCGTCGAAGCTAGCCGCCGTCGATCTCATACCGTCAGCCAAAACCGCCGGCCAAAATCGTTGGTATGGCACCGGCGGTGAACCGACGCGTGCCGGCGGTTTATCTGACGCTCGCTGGCCGCCGTAACCGCTGGCAAGCCGTCGGTGAACGAGCTGAAGAGAGATTTTGCATGTTAAGACGTATGCTTGGGATGTTAGATCCTAACATTTAAATTTATTTTATATGTTTAATTATTCTTTTTGATGTTGTCAAAGGGGGAGAAGAACTATATATGTTGGTCATAATTCATTTTACATGCATATATTTAGGGGGAGAATTATTTGTTTATATTTTTCTGATGCGCAAAAGTTATGATAAAAGGTTAATTTGCACCTTTGTTATAACTATACCCAACATAAATTTGTCATCATCAAAATCTCTTAAATAGGTAATGAGGTAGATAATATCAACAAAACCGCCGGTACAAAGAGGGCTATTAACCTGCGGTCTACGCCGCCTGAAACGCGCCGGAAACTTAGGCCGCCGGTGAATTTTTCCTACGCCAATTTTTCTGGCGGTTTATGAACCGCCGGTATAACTAAAAACCGCTGGTGTAACCTTCTAAATGGCCGGAAAAAATCGTCGGTATTGGCTGTTTTTCCTGTAGTGATTAAAAGAGAAGCATAATACTAAGTCAAGTGAGGCAGAGATGAGGATGCTCAGGTGGATGAGTGGCTTTAGTGATGGGGACATCAGATTTTGACACGTGTACCATCGCCGAAGACGCTGATCGCGGCCCTGATTCAGAGCCTTTATTTTTGATGTTTTATTTTATTCATGTCATTTATATTTCATGTTTTTCCTTTTGTACCCCTATGAGGGAATTAGTGCTTATTGTAGCCCAAGGGCGTTGTCTTCTTTATATATTTTATTTCTAGATAGCCTATATAAAAGGCTTGTCGTTGTATCTGAGATTATTATTGGATGAATGAAATTTATTTTCTATGTTCTCTTTGTGAGTGAAACGAAAATCTCTTGGTGAGTTCTTCTTCGAGATCTCTTAGTGAGTTCTCTAGGTAATTGCTAACCCTAGCATTCTTTCTTCCATTTCCCTTTCTTCCCCCACCCTCAAGAAATTCTACACAAAGTTCACCCTAGCCCTTATCGCCGGCCTCCCTAGGGTTTCCCCACCGTCGGCCAAGCTCACAACCGCCAGCCGCCCACCTTGCCGAAGGCCTTCCCCCCCACCCGACCGATCCCCCCTCTCCACCAATTTCAAATGTAAAATTTGAGATTCAAATATTGAATTGTTTCCTAATTTGGAAATCCAAATTAGGAAAGTATTCATGAGTAAACCAATTTCAAATCAATCTAATTTGGAGTTTTTAAATCCCTTGCCATGTCATCAAACCAAGTTGGAAACTTACTTTCCTCTCTCCCCAAACCCCTCTCTCTCCCTAGCAATCCCGCCGGCCCCCTTTGGGCTCACCATTAAGGAGTTAATATACTCCTCCTCCCCAATTTAAAATTTAAAATTGAATCCTAAATTTTCCCCTCCACTTATAATAAAACTGAAATTAATTTCAGTTTTATTTCCCTCACCCCTCCCTCTCTCCACCGTAGGCTCCTCATTGGCTCCCCATTAAGGGAGCATTAATCCCCCCCTTTAATTTGGGATTTCATATTTAAATTCCAAATAATTTTCCCTCCTAAATCACTAAAATTGAAATCAATTTCAGCTTTTCTACAACCCAACTCTCCTTTCACCCTTACTCTACCGCCGGCCTCTCCCTCCCCGTACCTACCCGCCGCCCCTCTCCCTCCCTTTGGAGAGCCTCCTGCGGCGATCCCCTTTTCTCACCTTCAAGAATGTATGGAGGAACCCGAGTGGAATTTCGGGTTTGAGTACGACAACCAAGGAAGAGTTGACATCCTCAGATCACCCTTCTTCGACGTAGGCTTTGATTTCGACGACACCGTCGAAGAATATTTGGACCGGATTCTACCAACATTAGTGGATTCCATTGACGACCACTTTTCCGTCTACACGTGGATCATTAAAGGTCGTCCTCCCGTGCAACTTCCACATTCGGCGCCTTCCTCTCCTTCCCTACGGATCTACGGTACCGTCGCCCTCAGAGTGGTTTCATCACTTGTGTGGTTGTTCTTCTCCCAACGAACCTAGAAGTAGGTGAATGAGCGTAGCCTCAAGGCGAGACATTCGCTTTGTTAACCGCCGGATTCTAGTTGGCTTTGTATTTGCTTTACTATTTATTATCGTCATTATTTTCTAGAACTTGCTAATTTAGGTGTAAGCTCTTGCTTAAGCGTAGTTGAATCCTAAGATCTTTGAGAATGTTTCAATTGTGAACAACATTAAGATTGCAATTTCATTATTTAAACAATATTTTATTAATCTTCTAAATCCAATTCCTGGTTTCACATCATCTTGGTATCAGAGCATGGCTAGCATGCTTTGTTTTGCTAGATGCATCCTAGGAGTCGAGTTTACCTTGCCATTGGTCGTTTACATGCAAAACATCATCTAGGTAATTTTATTCACTGTTTTACTTTGCTGTCCATTAATTTTCTGCATGCTATTTTCATTGTATTCAAGCATATTTAGCTACCTAAGTGTTGTCCTTGTCACTTGCCACCCACCCA